TTCTCTGAGAGCGTAGGACGTCTGTGCATTACTGTCGTCTTGTGCCTTAGCCTCTGCCATTGCTCCTCAGCAGTTTTTTCTGTGCATTGTGCCAAGGAAGCAAGATAAGAGGAGACAGTAAACACACCTTATTGCCGGTACAGGAAGAAACCACTAAAACCTTGCTGCACCATTTCTGGCTGCTCTTAAAACCCTCCCTCCCACCTTGCTTTTGACAGAATATTGACTAGAAACCAAGATCCCATTTCTGCTTAGCCTTAAGGGCAGCTGTTTACAGAGTAGTGGTGTTACATAGGTTTACTGTGTCGTATGTCTGTGTAACACTGGATTTGGATCTTGTATTTAGCTGCCAGAAGTGACTGTGATGAAGTGGGGGAGATAAACTGATAGATTGTGTGCCAGAAAGATGTTGGGAATCAATCAGATAAACAGGGCAGAGAAGTAGCTTGCTGTTTTCTAGTGATAATAAACTAGTAGCCTCTCTTCCTGGAATTTTTAAATGTAATTGCTGCAGTAATAATCTCAAAAAATAAGCAAATGGAGAAAAGTCATGGCAGGTTTTTAATTATGCTTGAATCGCTCTTTTTTTTTTTTTTTTTTTAAATGTGATGTATGCCTTGAAGGAGAGGAAAGATGTGAACAGGTATAAATATTATCTCTGTTGCTTGAGTGGCTGTCTTGAAAACAAAAAAAGCTCATAAAATGATACCCATCTACCTTTATTGCATTTTTCTTTTGTGGGATTCATCCCTTTTCCCTCCCTCATTCCAGTAATGTACTTAAGTGATGAGAAGCGATGGGTGTTGGCGAGCTTCTCACGTAGCACTGTGCCTGGGACAGCTTTTGGTGTCAGCTGCGCTCAGTGGGGCAGCGCCGGTGCCTGGGAAGCCCTCTGAGGGCAGGCTGCTCTGAGCACAGTGGTAGTCAAGAGCTAAGCTGTGCTCAGAAATGCCGTTGTCTCACTTGAGCTGGTATGGGGGGATGTGGAGCGTCTTTCTTCTCCTCTTGCCTTGTCTGTGCATGCTGCCTAGGGCCAGGTGAAGGCGATAGCCAGCCAGGACCATGGCTGCTCCCCAAGCCCTGCCTTCCGTGACTGTTACTGTACCCTGACTGACCGTTGCAGTCCAGCTCTCCTACTTCAGCAAGAGTATAGGGTGCAGGAAAAGCGTGTTTCATCCTTTCTTCTCTAGCATTTCTGTGGAATTGTCTGGACTTTCTGGTTTCCAGGTGGGTCTGTTTCAGGTTGTTTCTGAGCTGAAGCAGTAACTAGTCAGTGAAATGTCAGCATTTAGAAAGCAGTCTGTGCCCCTCAGTTTTGGAGGGTTTATTTCTGTTCTTTGTGTTAATATGTTGGCTAATACCCAAGGCACAGCATGTACAATTTACAGTGAGTGGTGGTAAACATACAGCACCGATCAAGTATCCAAAAAAGGCTGTTCACAATATTCCTTGGCTGCAGGAAGCAAAAAGGACAAAACCCAACCCTCAGGACATGAAAAGAAATAGAAAAGCCTGCTTGAGCATTCCTGAAAAAAATTTTGCTGTGCTGTTCCTCAGAGTGAGCGTTACTGCCCAGCAATGCTTGACTTCTGTTTGGTGAAGTGTTTCAGTTCCCCCCCTGCCCTCCTCACTTGAAGTGTGGGGCAAGACCTGTGGGGCAGAGGTCTTACTGCAGATCTGCTTGCGTTACATCTCTTGCCCATGGGAGTCGTGTATACAACAGCCTGTGAACATTCAGGCCTTTTTTATCCTTCCAAAGCCCAAGGAACAGTACCAGCCTCAGAAATACAAGCCAAGTTCTTCATTCTGCCCTTCCAGGTGAGAAGCGGCTGTCTCATGTCAGGCTCAGCACTGAGGAGCAGGAAGCCCTGCCTGCCCACCCTGAGCAGCATCCCCCTCAGCTTGTCGCCTGTTTGCCTGCTGTGGGATTGTACACTTTGTTCTGGGCTCTTGAGACCAGCAGCTACTGAACGGTTGGCCCATCTGACAGTCCCAGAGGGGGCTTTTTGTGATGCCCCCAGGGATTCCAGCCCTTTGCCATTGCTTAGATTTAAGATCATTAATTTGCTCTGCCCATGTGGGACTCCTTGTGCTTGGACCGTGCTGCTAAGTTGTGCCCCTCTGGCTCTGCATAACCTTTTAGGTTCTCTTCAGATGAATGACATGATGCTACATGTCACCTAAATAAACCGCGATGTGTTGAAGGGAAGATTATATTACTCCTAGATCCATCTGCAATTAACACACACCTTTGTAGTGGCCTTCAGTGTTTTGGCTCAGTCACATATACTATGGGGACCTTTTGGAAGCGGGGGATGATCTACAGTTACTCACACTTTTAGCATAGGGTTTTGCTTTCTTGCTTGAACCTTTTCAGAGCCATCAGCTTTTTCCCTTGGAAAACTTTTGTGCAGAGGAAATGTTAAAAAGTCTTGGTTCTTGGCTTGGAGTTTTCTAGGGAGTTTCAAGAAATGAGGCGCACAGGTTCCCTTGGAAACTTGGCGGCTAATTTGTTAAGTCTTCTGAGAAACTTGTGAGCCTGTTTAGCATTAACATGTTTTTACTGCGCTTTTAAATGGTATTGTTGTCTTTCTTCTAGCTCCTTCGGGAACTTATAGAACGTAAAACCACTTCATTGGACCCCAATGACCAGGTAGCAATGGGCAGGTAAGTAGGAAGTTGTCTGTAACATCATTAGCTTCACCCCATTCCATTCCAGAAGTACAAAACTACTTGTGGGCTTCCAGTCCAGTTCATTGTAGAGGGCAAAATTTTGCATGACTCTGGACAAAGCATCTGGGTGTAAGAAACTGCATAACAAATTATTAAAACAGTATGACATTAGTCAGGAAAGTCACCCTCTATAACATATTCCTTAGTTATGGATCACACTGTCTGACTCTTGAGTTTGTCAGCCTTTGGGCTGTGCCCTGGTTTGTCTGCAATCCCCTGAAGATACTTTCCAGTGTAAAAGGCTTGTTCCAGACTTTGGATATTTCTGTCTCTCAGTGGTTCATGCAGCACAAGGGGAGTCCATAGAGTGGTGTCTTAACCGACCCTCGCTAGGAGGAACTAGACAAAGTGACTGCCTGCTGCAGAAATTCTGCCTTTTCTCATTATGAGCTCTGATTTCTCATTGTTTTAGAGGAGCAAACGTTCTGTTGTGAGATCAGTTAAAGCAATTCCCATGTATGTTCTCTCCCTGCTCTTAAGAAAAGATACTATACAATTAAAATAGCAGGGAATGTTTCCTGCATGCAGAAATAAAATACAGTTCCATGCAGGGAAGCTTTTATTTCTCTGTTTAATGCTATAGTTAGAAAACAAAGAATTTTCCAAATACCACTTAATGAATAGTGTACATTGAAATAGCCATAGGCTGTAATTTAGAAAAGTGTAAAAGCAGAGGAAGGCTGAAAATGCTGGAGTAGGGCTCTCCACTGAAAAAGTGCTATGGGGTATGTGTATGGGAAAGGGGAGAAGATGCATGTGTTAGGAAATTTTGTGATGGTGAAATAACTTTTATCCTTGTAAAATATTACCCAAATTTTAGCGCAATGTGTCAAATTTATTTTGTGTATGTCTGGAATATTATGGAAAGCTATTCACTATAATTTAACATGATATAGACAAAATTACATTTAAGTGGTGATTACATTGTACATTTATCTGACTTTACAATAAAATAGATTACAGTAATTAAGATTATATTAAGATTGCAGTAATTGGATTTTGCTAGATTTTTTTCCCTGATGTCAAGTTTTCATTTTATAAATCAGGTAAGATGACGCTCGTCTTCATAAAAAAATATTTATAACTAGTAGAAGTTTTCCCCTGTTGAAAACTTCTTTGACTTGATGAAGTTCTGTTTGAGGAGTTGAGCTTCCCTTCTAAATACAGTTGGGGATCAGACAGCACTTTCTGAAAGTGTTTATTGCTTTTCTTTCTTTTGTAGTTTTGTGTAGTAACAGTTGGAGCATTATATAGCGCTTCTTGGTAGATTTGCCAGGTTTAAGTCAGAGATGGTGGGGAGAAGTTTTCAATATACTTTGCAAAACTGAGGGAGGAAATAAATTCAGATCATCTACTGCATCATGGTAATTCTATTCATGGAGCTAGCATAACCTATCTCATTTAAAAAAATCAGTTTAGGATGTGGCAGACCATCTATACTGTTACAGGTTTCTATATGCAAAACAGAACTCAGTCTAGTAATCAAGGCTGAAACAAAAAAGCAGTACCTGTAAAGACATTTTTTCAGATTTTATCATTTACACTTTGTAAAGATTTTATTTTTAATTCTAAAGATTCTTAAAAATATTCAGTAATCAAGAAAGAATGAAAAATGGAGCCAAGCTTGTTGCCTCCATGGGTTTCTCTGCCAGTAGAATATTCTCACTGAACAGTGATTGTCTCATTGGGGTCAGCAGGTCTGGCCTGCGTGTCCCACTGTGGCTGGAGTCAGGAGAAAGGCTTATTGTTTAAATGCCATGTCTGTGCAGTGAAGCAGTACCAGGGGCACTTGAAGTTTCATACTTGTTTTCCCAAGGTTCTGATCTCGTTCACTTGTGTAAATGCAGTGAGCTATAAGGGCTGGGAAGGGCCTCAGACCCTAGTGTACCTAATGCTCATTTTCCAGGTGGCTCTAAAAGTTGTGTAACTGTCATTTTGCATTCCTCAGGCAATGGCTGGCCATCCAGAAGTTACGAAGCAAAATAAAGAAGAAAGTGGACAGAAAAGCCAGTAAAGGAAGGAGAATCCGGTGGGTGACAGCTTCTGCAAGAAGTTCTGATTTTGCCAAATAAAGTCTGACTGTGCTGGGTTGGCTCTGGTAGGCTCTGCATTGGTAGGCTTATCCATGCCTTTTAGGGCAAGGTGTCTTGCTGTGGGGTGTTCACTGGGGAATATTAGTGTAGAGTAAGGGCTTGGTTGGATGCAGCCCGTGAGCATTGCCCAGATCAGTCTTGGTAAGAATGTTCACTGGTATCAGAGAACACTGGAGAGAGGTGTTTAAATGTCCCTAAGCGATTTGGGGCTGTAATTTCCAGTGGAAGCCAATAAACACTTCTTGTGCAATACATATATAACTGACTAAAATGTGGATAGCAGCTCTAGGGGAAGAAGTGCAGACATGCCTCAGTGTGGTAGATGTCTATTTCCCAATGACTGTCAATTGGAATTTGGTGTCTAATCTCTAAATTTTTGTAAGTTCCATCACAGCTTTCTTTAGAGTCAAAGCATTTCATATCCCAACTCCAGGGTCACTAATTCGGGTTGGTCTCTCCCGTTGTGTTTCCCATGGAAGAATCTTCCATGTGGTAGGGTGGAAAGGAAAGCAGTCTGGAGAGGATAGGGGTTTTTTTCCCCTTTGCAGAGCAGATATATTAGTCTCCCTGAGTTTAGCATGACTGCATGATTTGTAGTGGAGGAGGTATTTGTGGCAGGGAGACATGCTGAAAAGCTGCGCTGCTTCCTGAAAAATCCGCAACATTAACCATCCTTTTGTGAGTAAACTATAAATCCTGAGTTTAGATGGCATCTGATAGAAAGTCAGTGGAGTCAGACTGGGTCAGGCCTGGCATAGCAATTTTTAAGATAGATGTCATAAGATAATTTATTAAAAGAGGGAAGAGCTACTTTGTTGGCCTGAAAAGCCTATAATTATTGACTATCAATATTCTTTTCTGTCAGCATCACACATAATTGGATATATTCATGATTCAGTCAAAACTACTGACAACATCACACAACTCAGTCAGACTCGTAAACCTCCAGGAATAATGGGGAAGTCTCTCATTGTGTGCAATCTGTGCGCTTCAGCATTCCTGAGAGATCAGCTATCTCGCCAAGTCAATTGCCTCTTAGATCTTAGGTGCCTTTTTTTTCTTCTTTAAATAAAAGTTGCACTGACCCTGCACGGAAAATATCAATAAAAGAAAAAAGTGTCATTGTCTGTGTTTAGGATTAACATGCACTTAAGCTCCTGCATCTTTTCAGAATAGTCCTGTAGAGCCCAAGCGGGTGTTTTTACATAGTTGGTTCTTCCACTGACTCAGTGTCATCCTAAGCAGATCGCTTACCCTCTGTTCTTCTTTTTTCTTCTCTACAACTGGGGCAGCAGTGCTTAGATTTGTTTTCATGAAGGACTTTGAGATCCTGGGGAGAAAAGTATTTAATACTAAGTTTCTCCATAATTCTTCCTTTTTAGCAATCCTTTAGCAAACCTTCAATATTATAGCATGTTTGAATGAAATGTGCTAGTTTATTGTAGGGTCTGAGGGTGTTCAAGTGCTTTTAAAAGCAGTCTCTCTTCCACTTGACATGAGTACCTGTCCCCTTCATATACAAGGAAATTAGGGCCCTGAGAGGGGAAGTGAGCTCATCCAAAAATTCCACAGTCGAGCTTAAGAAACCTGGTGCCTAGAACTCTGCTATAGTTCTTTAGTTAATTAGTTCTGGACAAACAACTCGTGTCAGAGAATTTATCTGAATTGCTAAGCCCCGTTGCCTCTATGCAGACTGTCCCTTTATAAGCTTTGATTTGTATGAATCCCTCAGTTGATGATGTCTCGTAAGTGAACTATTTCATAGTCCAGCCTATTGACCTGTTGTTTGTGGCAGTACTAGCCCTGCGCACAGCTATGTGTGTTCCCACTCGATCATTACAGCGATAGACCAGGGCGGTTGCTTCCATTACGAGTGACAAAGACTTGATTGCGCAGGGAAGCCCTTGTGTAAGGGTGAGTGTGTGCTGTGCCTGAAGAGCCATTCTGAAATAGTCTTGTGAGCTAAAAATCCCCTCGAGGGAATGTTCCTGCATAAGCAAACAAAAGGGAGTGCAGAGGTGACAGAGTGGAAAGGTGATTCTGGGCAAATGCTTGTGAATCCTTTTGCCTGCTATTTGTCAAACTCTAAAAATAGCAGCAGCTTGGATAAAACATTTCAGACTTGGGTAGGCAGCATGGTAGTGTACACCAAAAGCTATTGGTTTGGAATCCCCTGCCCTTAGACACTAGGGTTTAAAGCCACCTTTTCATTCTGATTTTTTCAGTACTCTGTTAAATTTTATGTCAGGTCCTTGAATATGAGTCACGAAATCTACTGCAAGTTCCTAGCCCAGTGTGGAAAGCAGGAAGGGGATCCCATATCTGGAGGTGTGCTACAGCTTGCTTGCAGAAATACCTTGGCTGAGACAGATGCAGCACTGTATCACCTTGGATATGTCCCATCTCCTCTTTGCACAGGTCTTTTTCCCGTCTCCTCCTTTGCTTTTTTTTTACATGCTCCATTTGCGAGTTATTCAGGGTAAGACTTTGCAACTATGGGTACGGCTAGCAGAGTGGGATTTTGATATCCTTTAGGGCCCTAGATACCGGAGAGCAAGGAAAAAGTGATAGCAGATGGATGCTTGAGAAGGTCTGACGCTCTGACGCTTCTGCTGCCTGCAATGGGCTCTTTGGGCACAAATTCCAGAAGGTGATTAAGACACCAGCTGAACGGAAGGCTGAAAATGAGTTCCTGTTTCTCTGTCTCTGACTTTTCAGGGTTGTCTGTCTGGGAGTCTGATTAGGTGCTTGCACACAATTAATGGATGCTGTATGTCCTCTTTCTAGCTGTGATAAAAAAGGATTTGCTTGCTATTCAGTCCATTATATCATCTGATTATTCTTCTGTCCATGTTATAAGAAAGGAGGAGGGAAGGGGGGGAGAATTGCCAGCTACAACTAGTGACTTATTAGATATCAGCCACCAGGAAAGCCAGTGTTTTGCATTTCAGGGACTGGGGTGTTTCTATTCAAGCAGCAACATTTCCTTTTCATTAATAGTTACTAATGTGCTACCTATTTCCTGCACTATTCAGGTATCATGTCCATAGCAAGCTGGTGAGCTTCATGGCACCTATTGACCACTGTACAATGAATGATGATGCCAGGTGAGTAATAGATTAATTACGTTTCTCAAATGGCTTCATGACAGCATGATATTGACCTGTTCTTCAGTCTGTCGCCCCCTCCATTTCTTCTTATCAGTTAACCATTTGTCACTGGCATCATAGCCTGGGTGTCTTGGTCACATCTGTCCAGGCAGTCTGGCTGAGCTTCCACTCTGCAGTTACTGTGACACCAAACAAGAAATTTTCATAAATCTCAGTACCTACATTTTGATTCCTGCTTTAAAACTCCTGTGATTTTGAAATCTTCTGGTTTTATGGAATAATTTTGCAGATAGGCAGCCAAGTTATTTGGTGTCTTCAGGTATAATCGAAACTTACAAAGAACTTGCCTTAACAGAAATGGCAACGGTTTTAAATTCTGCTCAGGATGCATTTTCTTAGATGAGTTAATAACTGAAATAGTTAAGTCAAGATTCACTCAAGACCTCAATGTTGCTTGTGTTTATGTATATTAAAGAGTCTGTTAGCTCTTTGTGTCTATTGAAAGAGTGATGATTTTACTGGAAGGCTATAATGTTTTAATGTGCTAAATTAGTAAATAAAATAGCAGTGAAATTTTATGCATAGTTACTAGATAGTTTTTCTACATATACACCCATATTTCTTAAGCATTACATTCTTAAACTAAATCTTGAAATTCTGAGCTTTTTTTGGTAAGGAGGTGGAATAATTTTTCTACTGAACGGATGTAGAAGGCTTGAGAAACATCTTTCCCCTGGGTTGCGGAACATGTTTGTGAGAGAGGGATGTCATTTGTCTGTGAAATGGAAACCAAATACCTGCTGTTCTTAGACTGTTGCCTTTTGGGGTATTGCGCAGACTTCTGGATGAAAGCTCTCCAGTAAGCTGGCAGTAAGATGTTTTGTGTCCATAAGAAGATCTGTGCCGTTTCATCATGCATCTTTCTCATAGTCTCTTTACTCTTTCTTTCTTTTTTTCAAACGAGAAAACTGCTCTGATTTCTGAATATTGTCTACATCCTCTCACCACAAAAGTAGATGTGTTGCATGTGTAGGATGAAAGCTATGCCTCCAGCCGTATAAAGTGGTCAGTTCTTCCACCCCCTTACCTGGATCATAGGAAGAGAGGGACAGAAGTGGCTTGGGCACTGGGACATTAGACATACACACTGTCGTCTATTTGGCAAATAAATCAAGTGCACTTTTGTTTCTCATATGCAAGGACTGACCTAGCAGGTATCTGCATCCCAGCTGGCAAGGACCTCCTTACCTGTGTGGAATTGGTGTCTTTGCTGTTTTTGGATAGCCTCAAATAAAACACTGGGCAGGACAGCCATACATTCCTAGCGGAGTCGTACCATCCTGTAGAAGTGGTTCTGGGATGTGCTGCTCATTCCCCACATCTTTTTGTCTAAGGGTAATTAGCAGGTGGCATATGTGTGTATCGGAAGAACCAGTTCATACCATATTCATTAATAATATGCATGACTAATATTTCTCTATCTTAGTATTATGTCCAGTTGACTGGTTACTACTTACGCTTTGAGAATTCCGAATGAGGTTAGGGTGTCTTGTCATCTTTTGCGTATACTACATACTGTCCTACAGGTTAGGCAGGCATACAGAACCCCTGCTCTGTCCCCAGACTGAAAGCAAGCTTAACTTGCATGGGGTGTGTGTGAAGGGGAGGAAGGTGAAAAAAAAAAAAAGTAAGACTGATCCTAATAATCTAGGAGTTACCATACTATGTTTGCTGTCCCCAGAGGTGACATTGCTTCCTCCTTTGCAGTCCACTGCACTCACTAGTATTCCAAAAGTTGCGTAGAAAATGCATTCTGTAAGCCAAAATCCTCCAGCAAGTCAATGCAAACGTGAAGTGCATTGGAACAGCTGGGATAGTGGAGTCGTTCTGCACAATAGCCTTCTTGGGCCTTAGCTGCACTTAATCTGGCTGCCATCTTCATAACCCTTATTCCCCTCGCTTCTCGGGAGGCACCTTGCGTCCACCACAAGCTGCACGGGGTCTGGCTGACCCTCAGAAGCTGTTACAGCTAATAGGATGCTATCTACGTTATGCTGTGTCAACACAGTTATCATTGTGGTAGGGACAGAGTGTTTGACATTTGGTTTACTGAAAATGTCTCCTGGGGGTTTTCTCCACATTGAGTGGGTTATTACATCGCTTGCATGTTTTACTGATTCTTTGGTGGCAGCAGTATGGCAGCAGCTGCTGCTGCTTATTGTCTGACTGCGGGAACTTATTTCTTACATTAAGTTTATTAGTCACTTTGGAGGCCCGCCATACTTTCTGTTAATGGCATTTTAGTCACTTATCTCCTGATGTTGGTTTAGCTGTCTAGAGTGAGACTGTCAGTTGATGTGTTCACACACCAGCAAGCGTGCCTGAGGGTCATATCATGTGGGCAGCTGTATCCCATTCTGCCAAGATGAGGCTTTCAAGCAAACCCTGGATGTGGATGGGGCAATGCTGGAACCAGGCGGGGCAGGTATTGTTCCTCGTTCTGCCAGTGGCTCCATGGATGACCTTGAGCAGGTCACTCTGTGTTTCTGTGACTCTGATTCCCCTTCTGTGCAACGGAGGTCTGCTGTTGAGAAGTGCCTCTAAAAACCAGTGGTTTAATAATAGTAGTGGTAGTAGCTGTCCTCACTGTTTGCCAAAATGCCTGCTGGTTATCTGTAACACAAAGAATATGCCTTACCTTTGCCTACTGCAGGCATTACAGTCTTCTCTAAGCAATTTCTTTGCAGCTTCCTACGCATGGGATGTGCTTTGGCATTGTTTGGTCCTATGTTGAGCTTAAATTTCCCTCTGCTGTAATTTAGGGCTATTGTTTCTCGTCCTGTTCAATGTCGGCTTTAGGAACAGATTCTTTCTTCTTTGCAGCAGCAGCCCTTCCACATTTGGGTAGCCATTCTTGCTTTGCACACTGAAAAGCTGGGCGTTACTCAGCTTAGCTTCCGTCCTTTCCTCCCTAGTTTTACACCATTTTGTGTTTGCATCCAGACATAAAACCGTGGCCAGTGTCTGAAAATTGGGCCTCCATAGGTGTTTTGGTTCAACTCTCCCAAAATGAAGATATCTGCTGCTATCAGTCTTTTTTTTTAAATCATAGCTGCTCTCTGTGGGTCACTTCACACCCCTGTTTAAAATGCACCTGCATTTGCCATGGGCCATAATACCTCTCTAGCAGCACGCAGCCATACCAGAAAAGGCAAGAAGGATTCAACGTGTGCTTTAAACTGCAGGTGAATTAGAAAGAAAGGACCAGGCCTGTACGCATGAGAGGGAAGCAGTAATGATAACAGCTTTTCTTTGTGACAGAAGAAGGCAATTTTATTGTTTGCAAGTGTGAATTACTAGATTGAAAATGCAAGTATACACTTCACAGTGATGTGATCATGCTCTGAGCCATTTTTTTTTTCTGGTCAGGCACTTAAAAGGCGTGACCCCAAAATAAATACACATCTGAGCAATGGGGTGCTCTGTGTTGTAGTGTGAGAAATTTTAAAGTGTCAGTGAGCTGTATATAAAACAGCTGTTGCAGAAACAGAGCTGGCAGAACATTCCCCTTAAGTGTACCAGTCGCTAGAGTGGCAGGTAGATACCTGGAAAATGCCAGTAAACAAATACGTACGTGCAAATGTGGATGGGCAGAAGCTTGGGGGGATGGCTTAGAGTCCGGGGTGTGTGAATGGTTGGAGTAGTTCTGGTTCTTCTTTGGCTGTGCCAAGTCCTCACTGCCCGTGATGAACTGCACAAGCCCTTTGTCACTGGGGCAAGAACAGAGAGGAGCTGGCTGTGACTGTTGTCTTGCTTTGCTTGCTCTAAGTGCTTTTGAAGGCACAAGTCTGTGTAGCACTGTAATACCTTGCTGTTTTCTGTGTATTTGATTAGCTACTGCAGCTTAAGAATACATTTAGGGCCTGATTCTCTTGTACATTTAAGCCATTTTTCACTACTCTGGCTGTGCAGAGAGACTGTAACATGGTGCAAGGAACTGCTAGCACTCACCTGACGGTCCCTGTGTGGTGTTGGCATGGCGTGGGATGCCCAGGACTTCTGGGGATCTGGCATGTCAAGTTTACCACTTGCCACTGCCACTGGCTGGGAAAACAAAGAGCAAATGCGTGTGAGGAGAAGCAGCCTGAGCGCTGCATGGAGAAGGGGATGAACAGTCACTCCAGAGTTGTTTTACAGCCTGAATTTGAGAAAAGAAATGTACAAGTATAATAACTGCCTTTGTCAACATCACTGCCACTTCTTTTCTTATTCTTGCTGCTGGTTGGAATAATAGCATTCGTGCAGGCAATTAATCTTCCACTTGCCAGTTTTTCATGCACCCTCCGCATGGGCATGGCTGTTTAACCTTGTGCTCACATATATTATGTTGTAATGTGAGGGACACTGGTGGCCTCGAGCCCTCCTCTCTTTTAACCCCTCTTTGGTAGTATTTTAAAACATACACTGGAAAGTGATTTTTATGGTTATCTTGGGGTATATGTTTATAGACTTAAATACATTTATAGTACTCTTGGGCCAAGGTTTTTCTAATCGGTCCAAGTCATTGCTATGCAAATAGGCTTGCCCTAAGACAAGGAACCTGAAGGCAAAAGCTTGAATGTAATTGTACTGTGGTGGCTGTGCAGAGGCAAGTGTAGCTGTCTAAGGCAGGAATTACCCAGGATTAGAACCGGGTTGATCTCTCCTTGTTTGTGTTTTTTGCCAGAGTTTGAAGGTGGCATCATGTGGGTGCCACTTCTTGGACTTCCCTTGAAATATGCTTTTCTCATCTTCATGACCTAGGGTACTTTGCTCATCCCGTTGCTCCAGTATCTAGAGTAGTGTAATCTTTAATATAATCATTCTTTAGGACCACCATGTGCAACAGAGTTGGGATGATGCCAGTCTTCTCTGGTTTACTCTTTGGGAAATGATAGCCTGTATCTCCAAAGACATTTGAGTCCAGAAATCCATGAGTCAAGAGCATCGGTGACTTGCCAA